GTTTCCAGCTGGTGGGATGCCAGGTTTGCTGCCTTTGTTTTATTTGGGTCCATCTGTTGCAGTGGCGGCTCCAGAATTTTTTTTCTGCAGGTGCTATGAAGGAGCTAGTCTTTTTATTGAGGGTGCTATGAAGGAAGTGGTCACGCGTACCTATTGTTCTTTAAAACACCTTCAACACTAGCAGATACACATGCGTGCACAAAACCTCAACAACACCTGAAACAATCACTAATATACATAAACATATGAACAATCGCTGACTTTTCCATGAAATCATAAACACATACAGCCACACAGAAAACCACCTATAGTGTTGCAAGGTTAGCTAACGTTAGTGTTAGCATTTCCAGTGGCAAAACCCTCGACTGCTGCGGCGGTTGAGGGTTGACTCTCTTCATCCAGACCCGTAGGTTTTTGTGGGTCTGAGATCACTTCCAAACATTCATTCGTTTCTGACTGAACCCGTGGAAACGTGGGCAACAAAAACCCATTTTACCACTAGCTCTACCTTTCACTCGTTCACAGGTGGAAAATGAGGTCAAAGGTTAACATCAATTTCCTGTTTTGGTTTAAGTTTTTACTATCTATATGATAATTTACTGATTATTTTTGTTTTGTATGTTAAATATTATCACATCCACACTGGGACGTAATTTTGGGGGGGGACGGGTGGGACATGTCCCCCCCACTTTTTCAAAAGGCAGTTTTGGTCCCCTGCACTTTTTTCCGTCCAAAAACAATATTACGCTCCATTAAATGGATTTGGTTGAGCACTAGGACCGAAACGGAAACCGGTTTCCTATTAGACCTGCCCAAAAGCTAATCTATTGGCTCTGCTGATACTTGCTAACGTATTATTGGCTGTTGCTGCTGTCACTCAAGTTGTAAACAGTCAGAACGTGCTCACGTTGTTTTGCTAGTTTGGAGCCGCTGGGGAACACCGGTACTGAGTCACATTGTCAACTAGACGCTGTGTAATATCAGCTCAGCTCAGCTTCCATTACATAACATTTGAATAAGTGTTCATTTGTGAGTTTTTGGTAGTTAGGCACAGCCAGGAGGCAGCATGTCAAGAAAACGAAAAGTGGATATAAGAGACTTCTTTCAAAGTCAAAACGTAAGTTGGAACATGTGACACCCCTGCATTAAGCTCAGACTCACCTCCTCCTTCACAAACATACTCAAAACTAACTTTTACAAACTCATCTCCTCCACATAACTGACTCCTCAGACACAATTTATTCGTATTATTATAATTATTTTTTTATTATTATTACTAGTAGTAGTAGAAGTGTAACTTCAAAACTTTTATCATTTAACTTTATTGTAAACGTATCTATTGCAATGTATATGTTCACATTAAAAAGCTCTGAAAAATGAACAGTATCATCATCGTCAACAGATTTTTTTAAGCTTAATGTCAAAGATGTACACTTTTCATTAGATTTATCTTATTTTTTCCATTTATTTTTTGTGTGTTGAAATGCAACAACTGTTTAAACACTTTTAAGGGAAAAAACATTTAATATGTTTTCATACACTCAAATGTTAGGGTGATGATCATGTGTAAAACATTAGTTCAGCATGTCCTCTAACACAGCAAATGAACAAACGGCCAGATCTCAGGAGGGACCGTTTATGTATAAATAATTTTTATACTTTTGACTAGGCCTGGGAAAGTAACAAATTTTGCTGGACGATATTTTGTCCAACAAATTGTTGATGATAAACGATATCATTGTCAACATTATCTAGACCAAAATAACCACTAATATAATGTTAATATATCATAATAATGCAAGTACACCCTTTAAAATGCAACAAATAAACCTTCATTTAACATTGAAATGTCCAGAACCAGAACTTCTAAATGAATAAAAATAACAAACAAAAATTCAATAAAAAAGGAATCTCACTCCCTGTTAGAAAATGTTGCACCAAAAACAATAAAAAAGACCCAAAACAATAAATACAATGGCCTATCCATTGTCAACAGCCAAAACTGCACTTCAATAATGATAATAAATAAAAATAATAATAGAGTTGTACATTTTTTAACTTTGATATATATATATATATATATATATATATATATATATATATATATATATATATATATATATATATATATATATATATATATATATATATATATATATATACAGGTGCTGGCCAGTAAATTAGAATATCATCAAAAGGTTGAAAATATTTCAGTAATTCCATTCAAAACGTGAAACTTGTACATTATATTCATGCAATGCACACAGACCAATGTATTTCCAATGTTCATTACATTTAAATTTGATATTTATAGGTGACAACCAATGAAAACATCAAATCTGGTATCTCAGAAAATTAGAATATTCTAAAGGCCAATGAAAAAATGTTTGTTTCTCTAATGTTGGCCAACTGAAAAGAATGAACATGAAAAGAATGTGCATGTATAGCACTCAATACTTAGTCGAGGCTCCTTTTGCCTCAATAACTGCAGTAATGCGGCGTGGCATGGACTCGATCAGTCTGTGGCACTGCTCAGGTGTTATGAGAGCCCAGGTTGCTCTGATAGTCGTCTTCAGCTCCTCTGCATTGTTGGGTCTAGCGTATTGCATCCTCCGCTTCACAATACCCCATAGATTTTCTATGGGGTTAAGGTCAGGCGAGTTTGCTGGCCAATCAAGGACAGGGATACCATGGTCCTTGAACCAGGTGCTGGTGGTTTTGGCACTGTGTGCAGGTGCCAAGTCCTGTTGAAAGGTGAAGTCTGCATCCCCATAAAGTTGGTCAGCAGCAGGAAGCATGAAGTGCTCTAAAACTTCCTGGTAGACGGCTGCATTGACCCTGGACCTCAGGAAACAGAGTGGGCCAACACCGGCAGATGACATGGCACCCCACACCATCACTGACGGTGGAAACTTTACACTGGACCTCATGCAACGTGGATTCTGTGCTTCTCCGCTCTTCCTCCAGACTCTGGGTCCTTGATTTCCAAAGGAAATGCAGAACTTGCTTTCATCAGAAAACATAACTTTGGACCACTCAGCATCAGTCCAGTCCTTTTTGTCCTTGGCCCAGGCGAGACGCTTCTTGCGCTGTTTCTTGTTCAAGAGTGGCTTGACACACGGAATGCGACACCTGAATCCCATGTCTTTCATGAGTCTCCTCGTGGTGGTTCTTGAAGCGCTGACTCCAGCTGCAGTCCACTCTTTGTGGATCTCCCCCACATTTTTGAATGGGTTTGTCGTCACAATTCTCTGCAGGGTGCGGTTATCCCTAGAGCTTGTACACTTTTTTCTACCACATTTTTTCCGTCCCTTCGCCTGTCTGTTAATGTGCTTGGACACAGAGCTCTGCGAACAGCCAGCTTCTTTAGCAATCACCTTTTGTGTCTTGCCCTCCTTGTGCAAGGTGTCAATGATTGTCTTTTGGACAGCTGTTAAGTCAGAAGTCTTCCCCATGATTGTGGTGCCTTCAAAACAAGACTGAGGGACCTTTTAAAGGCCTTTGCAGGTGTTTTGAGTAAATCAGCTGATTAGAGTGGCAGCAGGTGTCTTCTATATTCAGCCTTTTCAGAATATTCTAATTTTTTGAGATACCAAATTTGGAGTTTTCATTAGTTGTCACTTATGAATATCAAATTTAAATGTAATGAACATTGGAAATACATTGGTCTGTGTGCATTGCATGAATATAATGTACAAGTTTCACATTTTGAATGGAATTACTGAAATATTTTCAACCTTTTGATGATATTCTAATTTACTGGCCAGCACCTGTATATATATTGAGGATGGAAAAATTATTGAGATGGGCACGTGACGTGTCAAGGGGTCTTTACATAACACCCCCCACCCCAAATCCGCACAAGCCTGCTGTGTCCCCCCCACTTCTGAAATCAAAATTTCGTCCCTGCATCCACACGTTAAATTAAAATTAAATTGTAAAAAAAAAAAAAAAAATCTAATTACTTGGGGGTGCTATGACTAATCCAGGGGTAGCTATAGCGCCCCCCAGCGCCGCCACTGATCTGTTGTTGGCTTCACCTAAACCCACTCTGGTTTTAGATGGTCGCTCCTCTTCTGAGAAGGATAACAACGTCTTCTGGGCTCAGAAGCAACTGCTTAACTTGCATAGTCAGCCATTTTCCACAGTGCCAGCCTCGCTGTGCCGAGCGGATTGTTTGGCAACCCGTTATGGTGCCCTCTACTGGCTGGTAGATGTAAACACAAACCCAGTGTCATTCAGTCAAAATAAAAACTTGATTGTATAGCTCTTAAAGGAAACACCGTGCCTTCATTCTGCATATCTCTAAATGCCCTGTGGCTGGATTATTAAAAAAAAAAACTTTTTCTTACATTGTTCCATATTCAACGTTTAAGAAGAGCTGTAACAGTTTCTGAGCCTAACAAAGACTCAAGCTGAACAGAAAATTCACACTGAGGTGAAATAAGTGATTGGACAATTCTTCGATTGGCTGATTATAGAAAGTTCAATAAACCAATCTTTAACAGAAAAGAGTTTTCTTAATGTTGATGGTTTCTCTAGCGGTTTCTAAGGAAACATCAGCGCTGGCGTCTCTAATTGGCTCCATCAGCTGTTCTAACAGAAGTGTTGAACGACCTGCGGGCGACACGATCAATACATGAAGCTAAAGTTTGCCATTGAAAGAAAAAGACTTCATTACTGGTACTGATTTTTTTTCTAATTGATTTTAGATAACTGGGATTTCCAACCATCTTTTTTAACTTAGAATTAAGGCTGAAACATACATTTTTTTACCCATAAACCTCTGACATTTGTGCCATTAAACAACTCTTAATTTGGTCTACCTACCTATGTTTCTAAACTGATGTAGATGTGTGTTCTCATCCCACGAGGATTCACCTCCGAGAAGGCACGTCCAAACTTGTCTTCTTGCCTCCTGAGCTGAAAGCTTAGAGAACCCCTTGTTCTACACGATGCCGTTCTCTGATTATCGTCTTTGGCTCCCACCACTCTCCCAGGGAAGTGAGCTGTTCATGACAGACGAGGAGCGTCTGGCGGTGGAGGCCCGCCGGGAGCTGGAGAGGCAGGAGCTGATGCGTCAAAAGAGAGTCGCATTGGAGACCAACAAAATCATTAAAGAGCAGCAGGAGAAGGAGAGACAGTGAGTGAACTACTAGACTCCTAATTGGCTCTGTCTTGACACCAAGTCCTCAGTAATGTGACAGGAGGGACTTGAGGTCGACATTTAAGGTGGTTGTGTGTTAAACTTTTCTCTGACTGCTGTGATCCGACTCTGAAATATGTTTTCACACAACCTGCAAGTAAAAAAAGAGAAAAACATCCAATGATTGTTTCAATTCCTTATTTTTTGATTAAAGCAAAAGGAATTTGATTAAAAATGATAATTCCTGGACAAATGTTGTAATAAAAAAGGATTTACTTTTGATAAACTGTTACATTCTAAAAGATTTTCATTGAATTTCACCAAACTTAGAGATTTATTAAGCTTTAAAAATACAGGCGAGATTCTTGTCAGTGCTTTATAATGTTTAGAGGTCAATAAAACAGTTTCTTGTCAGGGTCGTCTCTCCTTCATGTAATTGCAAAATGGACAAAAGCCGTATTCTGTACTCATAGCCTTGTGTGCTCTGAGATGGATGCGCTGACTTATGATGCTATTTGCAGGAGAAAGATGGAGATCTCTCAGAAGGTTGCAGAGGAAGAGGAGCGTTATCAGAAAGAGATGGAAAAGTACTTAAAAAAAACATGATCAAACTTAATTATGTTTATAGCTTTTCTAAGATCTATTCTTTTTCAGGATCGAGGCTGTAGAGAAGAAACACAACAGAGACTGGGAGGAGGACTGGGGAGCCAAAGAAAGGCCGAAGAGCCCCCAGCGCTCTAGAAAAAGCCCCTCGCCCTCCCCTCCTACAGTAAAAACCACCCCACCTCAAAAAACCAAAAGTTCACGTATGAGATTGACTTCAGCTTTTTCCTTAAATGCACGAAATCTGTACAGTGATCCCTCGCTACTTCCCGGTTCGTTTATCGCGGATTAACGACTTCGCGGATTTTTTCTTTGGAGCCTTATTCAAGGGAAATTCGCCGATTCGCGGCATTTTTCACCGATTTGCGGTATTTTTCTATGCGAAATATCAAGAAATTTCTGTTTTTTTTCATCAATTTCATCATAAAATGCACTTTTTGTAATAAAACTATAAAAAAAAACAAGTAAAAATACAGTACTATGTAAAGGGAGGGTTTTAAAAGTCTGAATACTGAATACGTACCTGTTAAATAAATACTGTAAATACGGTGTCCCTACTTCGTGGATTTTCACCTATCGCGGCCAGGTTTGGAACGCATCTACCGCGATAAACGAGGGATCACCTGTATTTTCTTTTTTCTTATTTGCACGCTCTCTTATTTTTCATTTCTGCTGGTTGCTGTGCTGTTTCCTCTCATGACCTTTCCTACTAAGTGGATGAAGCGGCCTCCTTCGCAGAGGAAGAGGAGGGTGAGGAGGACAGACACGTGAGTTTGGAGTCTTTACCTGTCATTGTGTCAGCTGTCGCACAAGGACGTCTGTGCAAATCCACACCCAGGGTGACAAGTGGTAGATTTCCTTTGACAACAGTTGTGATGCTACAGGAGGCGACTGAATCCAGCGTCAGTTTCATCCTTTGAACTTGGCTTTTGAGTGTCGTGCTGCTGATTTTCATATTTGAGGCTTGGTCTGAGTTTTCTCTTTCAAAGTGGCTTTTTATCACTTTGAAACAAGGATGGAGGTTGATTCGATCATTAAGAGATTTCTGTGTTCATCTGCATCCGCAGCTTTTGGCTGGTTTTATCGATATGAGGGGAAACTGCCGTCGTTACGCAAGGTACCGCCAGCAGTTTGTGCTGTGTGAGAGATGTGCTGGAAGTTTGCTTTTCCTGTTTAACTTGTCCTGACTGATGATCTCCCTCAGAAGGGAGAAAAGAAGAAGAAAAAGAAGAAAGTGTCGAACGCTGACACGTTGCAGGAGCAGAGAAAAAACAAGAAGGAGATGGAGTTTGAGCTGAAACTCGCCAAAGAGAAAGAAGAAATGCAAGAACGGGAGAAGCAGCTTAAGATCAATCGGCTGGTTCAGGAGGTATGAAGGGAGGAGTTTTTGAGTTGGATGGATGCTCGACCGCTTCAAGGAGAAGCCAAACCTACTGTTTGATTAAATGACGGGTTGTAGTTTTTAAATCCTTGCAGTGGTTGCAGATGATTTGATAGCTGATGATTAGAGCTTGTTTGAAGGTTTGACTCCTGCCTGGCTTCACCTCCACGCCAGGTTTCGGAGACGGAGAGGGAAGACCTGGAGGAGTCTGAGAAAGTTCAGCACTGGGTGGAGCGCTTGTGTCAGACTCGGTTGGAGCAGATCTCATGTGTGGAGACGGAAACCCCAGAGGTGTGGATTGAAGCTCTGACTCTGATTTACACTGTAGCACTTTTAGCTCTGCTTGGCAGATGTAAGGTGCTTTATAAATTAAATGCATTATTATTATTATTATTATTATTATTATTATTATTATTAAAAGCTCTCTCCTGCCTCTGAGCCGAGGGTGAAGCGTTTCGCCGGGGGCCTCCAACTCGCCACCACCGATCTGGATGATATAAATCTGGATGAGGTGGACCAAAGCCTGAGAGGACCTCTTAAAAAACTGTCCCCCACTCAACCCAGCACGACTCATCCTCCTCCTCCCTTGCCTCCGCCTCCGCCCTCGCCCAGGTTGAACCCGACCATCCCAAACTACTCCCCGCCTTCACCTCGAGTATCTCCCCAGCGCCAGCGCTCTTCTCCGTTCAGCTCCAGGAGACCCTCCAACGCCCCCGCTACATTACCCAACAGGGGGCGCATGCCTCCCCCACAAACCCCTCGTCCGCCTTCCTCCCACAAGCCTCCGCCCTCTCAGTCCTCACGGCCCCCATCCTCTCCTCAACCCACGCCACACCCTCCTCCTCCGCCGCCGCCACCACCTCCTCCTCCACCACCACCACCCCCTCCACCTCCTCCTCCACAGCACTTTGGAGAGCGTGCGGGCTCCCTGAGTGGTTACCGCCAACATCACCACCTCCAGCATCCTCCCAGTCCTCCAGAGCTCAGCAGGAGTGAGTGGGAGGCAGGCGGGTATCTCCCTAGAGGAGGGATTTATTCCTCCAACACCAGTGAAATGTCCCACCCTCCCAGTCCAAAGGTTTGGCTTCTTCAGGGTGCCTCGTGTGAGAAGCATGCTGGTGATGTTATTCATTTTCTTTTTCTGTTTGGAGGCTTTAAATATATTTTTATAGCAGTGCTCTAAAAAAACGCTGCAGTGCATGCGTGCAGGACATGGTGTGTTTTATGCATGAAGAGAAAGAAAAAAGGCTTATTGAATTGGACTGGACTGGATTTAGCTAAAGTGTGTGAGAGTTTGCACGTTATGAGGTGTGCAGAAGTGATTTTCTTTTAAAGTGTCTGATCTCGGAGGCAGTTTATAGGTGGTGAAGCTTTTAGACACTAAGCGTTCTGCATGTGTGTGTTGCTTTGACATTTCTAGCACTAGTGTGTGTGTGTGTGTGTGTGTGCGCGCGCGCACACGCAGACTGAAAAGATGAGTTGCATTTTCAGGTGATGAGAAACACCTCCCATGCCAGCCGCGCTTCCAATACAAGCAGTCAGCTGGTGAGCCTCGTCTTGTGGAAATCATGTCAGGCTCTGCGCTTTTTTTTGGAACTGGTTGATGAGCTTTGTAAATTTGTTGCTTGGAAACATGGTCCTCCACCGATAGCAACTGGCTCCCAGTCCCCCCAACCAGAGACGTCAGATGGCCCCTGTCATGTCCAAGCCCGTTATGCTGCCTCAGACCCAGACAACCCGACCAGACCCGCTCAGATCTGCCGTCCGCTCTGATGTCCTGGTATGAAGCACACACGCTGCACTCTGCTGTCCCTGCACAAAAACCTCAATCTAACAGAAAAAAAGTAAACATCTGACTCAATATGCCACCAGTCACCTTTTAGAGTTTCCCTGTTTTTATGAGACAGAATATCTATGCACAAGCTGCATTTTCTTTGCTGGCTTCCACAAGCCTCTTCCTCTGTAGGAGGAGGTTAAGTAGCAACCATGCAGAGCAGCTTTAATGCCAGCAGCTGCAAACAACCACGGTCCCCCATCAGTTTGATTATATGGGTCTAGATGCCAGCGAATAAGCTTGATGTTAATTAACTCATAGTTAGGTCCTAATGATGCTTTTTTGTTTCATCAAGGTTTGAAGGTTAATTAGAATTGCCTTTAGGACATCAGCCTTTCTGGGTCTGTTCAAAGAGAAACGAGTGAAACTCAAACCCACTTTAGATGCACGGACCAGTGAAAAGAGTTGTCGCCGACACACTTGAAACCTGTTCACAGCTGTAGTGCCGCCGTGCCGCTTTGAGTGGTTTTACATGTTTCTAGTCGATGTGTTGCAGTCGAACTTCAAGGGAAGGTCGCGTTTCACATGAGCTCAAATTTCCAGGATTTCTAGAAACTGTTCAGTCTGAAGAAAATGGACTAAAATCAGCCACCTTGTGTTTCAGCCTCCAGAAATGCTGAAGCGGATGGTGCCTTTCAACTCATCTTTTAAATCAAACAAGCAACAAGTAATTAGTGACTTCCTGTTTCCTGCTTTGACCTTTAGATGAATCCTGGGTGTTTAGTCCCACTCATAGGTTTAAACCTTAGCGATGCCTTTCCCCCTCGTTTTGTCTGTTGTTCCTTCTCTGCTGCATCGCTGCCTCTTCAACGACTCGCTCATGCATGACCGCTCTTTCATCGATTTGAAGCTGACAGTCGTGCTAGTGCACGTGTTGTTTAGTGTGGGAATGCATGCCACGGCATTGTGTCACTGGAGAGTGTGGTTGTGTGTTTTTATGGGTTTCTGCATTTAAAAAAATGCATCTGAAACATTTTCTCTATGTGTCCAGTCATGTCAGTGCAGTGTGTGTTAAACTCTTTTAATACTGAGTTTCATTGGGTTTATTATACTACGTGTTAGTCAAAATAAATATGAAATTTAGAATTCTTCCATTTTAAATTAGAAAGCTGAAAATCAGCTAATAGATTATTTATTATTTTTTCCATCCAAATTAAATAAGTGTGAATTTTAGTGAAATTCTTGTCTTGTTGGATTTATATTTGTGGCTTAAGGCATGGTGCTTTATGAACAAATGCTCCTAAGGATCTGTGATGTTCCTTCATCCAGAGCTGAGCTCAGCCTTTAACATCAAACTGCTTGTCAAAGGAAATCTTGACGTCTTGTTCGTGTTTACTAGACGCTCATTAACTGTCTGTTTACATACTGATCGTTTTAATAAGCTGCATGTTGGTTTTGTTTCAGGGATTTCAGAAATATGTGGACGACTTTGATCCCTACTCCATGGTATCGTATGGTCGCTTGTGCTCTCGCTGCAGAAATACAGAAAAGTGCTGCAACAATGAAAATGATTCATTTGAAATAAATGCATTAAATTGGAAACTGAAACAACCACATAAAGGGTGTCTTGTTGGATCTTCATCAGAGGTATTTTGTCGTTAGTTCTCCACAGACCAGATAGCCGGACGGGATGTGAGATTGTTGAAAGTCAAAAAGGTAATTGGACATTTTAGTGTATTTACGGGTAAAATATCCCTGAAGCATCACTCTTCTCATCTGGGTTTCCTTCTCAAGGTGGGGCAGCTAGACCTGGCTCTCGAGGGCGGGGCGGACTCTCCTCTGGGAAAGTTGGTGATTTCGGCTGTCTATGAGGGTGGCGCGGCTGATAAGCACGGTTAGTCCATCTTTGACCTCACAAAGGGGGCCACACAACTCTGTGGGCTCTAGAGGGTCTGGCTTCTTTTCCATGGACTTCTTAATGCATCTCTTCATGCTGCTCTTTTCCTGCCAGGTTACTGTCGTTTACAGACTACTGATGTCACAAAATCTTTAATTAATGCATTTTTTATGTTAACTCTCAAAAATCCATTGCTTTTGAGTTTACGGTCCATGTGTGTGTGTGTGTGTGTGTGTGTGTGTGTGTGTGTGTGTGTGTGTGTGTGTGTGTGTGTGTGTGAGAGAGAGAGAGAGAGAGACATATTTGTTTTATTTAATTGACTTTTGTTTTCATAGTGAGTTACTTAGATGGTCAGAGGTCTCTGATGTGTGTGCCCGTAGGTGGGATTGTCCCCGGGGACCAGCTCATGGCCGTGAATGGGAAGATCCTGATCGATGCTACATTGACGGAGGGACAAAACTCTCTGGCTCGAGCCTGGAACAGTGGAGGGGTACGAGTCCAGTTACCGATCAGATCCCATCACCTGGACTTTAAAAAGAAAAAAGTTGTGCAAGATTTGATGTTGTTGCTTCAGCCTGAGTTCATATTCTGCATCGATTTAGTCAGATTTATGCCCTTTTGAATTATTTTCACCCACAGGACTGGATCGATGTGGTGATTGCGGTCTCTCCACCAAAGGATTATGAAGATGAAGTGTAAGCATTCCTGTTTCTTTTTAGCATTTAATGTGACAAGTTATAAATCTCATGAATTATTAATATCTGGTTGACTAGTTTACAGATTTGTGTGTGTGTGTGTGTGTGTGTGCGCGTGCGTGCGTGTGTGTGTGTGTGTGTGTGTGTGTGTGTGTGTGTGTGTGTTCAGCCCTAAGGCAGTATCAGTCAGTCCCACTGTGAACAGAAAGGTGTTTGAAGGCAGTGCAACACTTTACAGACACGGCTATCATCTCCATCACTAGCCCCGCCCCCTCCCATCTCACCCCTGTTCTGGTAATCAGCTTCAGCCCTCCTCTTCTTTGCTGCACAGCAGAGTAGATGTGTGGTGTGCCACTTGTTTTTGTTTGGGTCCTGTTTATTTTATTCCCCTCCAGGACATGTGACAGTCTTTCTGTCAATCAGAATGAATAAAAAGACAGCAGAGGTGGTTTTCTTTTTTGTTTGTTTCTTTATATCCACACTGATTTGTCATCCTGTTTGAGTCTGGACACAAACTTTTTAAACAATGAAAAAGTTTTCTTTTTTTTTTCAGTTTTAAATTGTTGTCCATGGTAAAATGTGCAGTTGAGTGATGACGTCTGGCTGCTATAGACACTAAGTGACCCATTCCAGCATCTACATGCTAAACCCAGCCTCGCCGAGCATTATGCTGCCCCTCTCATGTTGTTTCTTGGAGATGTTCTTGTTTTCCATGGAAACACTCAGAAAATCAGTCTGAAAAACACCTTTGCAGCATTTCCAGCCTGGCAGACATTTTACCAGATTTCACCTCATGCTTCCTGGACCGTCTCCCAGACACCGCGTTGGTCGCTCCACTGCAGTCGGAACTCCAGTTGTTCCAGAAAGCATGAGGTGAAATCACCTTAGAAGATCCTGCCAGGTCTGTCAGGTGGTAACTGCTGCAAAAAGTTTGATGAAAGTTTAATTTTCAGTAAACTCCTACCTCTGACGTCTGCATGTCCTGTTCATCTCCTATACGTCCTTTACAGACTGAATGTTTCCTTGGGTAACAATAAAATTCCAAGTGAGCGGTAAATGATGCGTGCTGTCCAGCCGTGAACACTGAAACTCCTGCCAGCCTTCAGCGGTTGTTCTGATTGATGTTGTCTTACGGGACTGTTACATGTTCTTAGTTCACTCTGAACAGAAATGTCTTTAATCTTGACCTAAAAGAGGCTCTGCATTGCATCAGGTTAAAGATTAATTTCACTTTGAGCCTCAACTTCTTTCATTAACTCACCTGTATGCACGTTTGTTGTAGTCAGAGTGCAGTGAGCTAAATTAATAAAGGATGTTTGGTTTTATTTGGTGTATTTTAATAATCAAATCTGAAAAATTTGTGTTTATTTTTTTATATTTTTTCCATTTTGATGAATTATTCTGATTTCTCCTGCAGGACGTTCTTCTAGTTTCACCTGCCAAGAAAATCAGCCTGATTAAGTTGAAGACTTTTAAACTGTCACCTGCAGACAAAAAGCCTCAGATGCTCGTTTAGCGTCTTTGACACTGAACCAGTTGCTATTTAGGCTTGACGTGTGCTTTTAATATTAATTGCTACTGCCTTGTCTAGTCGTTACTTGCTTGTTTTCTGTTGTTTTTACTTCTGTGAAGCTGGAACATAATTGACCTCATGTCAGCACCAATGAGGACTCTCTGCTAACGCCTGTCAGTAAACAAATGAATTATGAGTCAGCTGTGATTAATGGAGCGTCTATAGCCTGCTTTCTCTGAGCCTAATAAAAGACTGCCCAGAATAAAGACCAGGTTCTCTAGTGCTTATTGATTTTCTGCTTCTAATTGAAAACACTTTTAATGAAATGTATCATTACAAGCTGCTTCTTCATGGAAGGATAACCTTGACCATGTCTACAAATAGGACAAAAAATAGGCAGTGTTAGATATGCTTAGTTTATTATGTATCTAATTGTAATATTTGTTACATTTTATTTTATTTTTGTTTTGAAATAGAGCTATGAAGAAGTATTTTCCCTTTATAAAGTGCTGTTTTTTTTTTTACTTTTTCATTTACGTAAATTTAAACAAATCCCAACATCACACAAAGATGATCTTAGTAAAAACAAAATGCGTTTGTCCAATTATGGTTTTATCTATCAAAGTAAAAAGAAAAAAAAAGTCCAAACCAGTCGGACTCGATGTGAAAAGGATCAGGGACCTCTAAACCTAAAAACCTTTTGAGGAAACAACTAAGTTTCCCTTCACTGTGGAGGAATTTTGGCCAGTGAAATTCAGCCGCACTGGAGGGTTTCCAACATTAAGAGGAAATGACAATCTTTTAAATGGCACTTCTCAAGAAAAAAAATGAGGTGCTTAACAAGAACAAAAATAAAAAAAATATAAAAGGATTAAAAAATGTGAAGAAACGGAAAGTGAATAAGACAGAGGTAACAAAGGCAGATTTAGGAAGATCTGAATGAGGAGATGGTAGTGATAAAACAACAGAAGGGCTTGTTTAAGGTCAAAGTTCACATTTTTCGTCAGGATTTCCTGATGGGAACATAATTTATGGTTCCATTAATTACAGCAAATTGTTAATATATTTAAGCAGCAAAGCATTCTCAGACCATCACACTACCACCACCATGTTTGACTGCTGGTATATTTGTTTAAATTCTAGTTGTAAATTTAAACTTCATGATGATTTTCAAATATATAAAAAAATCAACTTTGTATTTTTCCCTTAAAATGAGCTTATGCTGTATAGTGTAAACATCCCATAGCTTTAGAAATACGTGCTAATGGGCTGTTGAACTATTTATATAAAAAAGGCAACTTTTATTTAGAATTTCTTCTCGGTTGAAACAAACTTGTGATTATTTTAGTTCTGCCCTACCTTCGATCTATGTCTATCGATTTATTTTAGTCACGTGAAGCCTTTGTTGTAATTGTGTGTCCACAGGGGGCAATAGTGGTCCTTTTTGAATTTTTGAATCAGGAGAACATTCTTATTAAGTCTGCTCCAGCCTGATATTAATAAATAGACCAAAGTTAGGTGCGGGGAATTATTTTAGCTGAAGATAGGTTAGTTGAAACAGCAATGGTTGGGGTGTATTTTAGGGTTAGGTAGGACAGCATCCCTCTGTTCTTATATAACCGCTCCGTTCCCGGTTATTGTGGTGGTGCCGTGGCTGTTTGGCTTTGTGACCTCCTGGTCCAGTTCATGACAGATTCCAAAGGTGGCTTTGAAGGATCTGCCTTCCTCCTCATCGCCCTCCCCTCTTCCTTCGCGGTACCCGGGTTCAGCACCGTGGACAGCTCCCAGCCCCCAAACCGCCGCCCGCGGTCGGCTGCTCAGACGCAAGTAGGACGCGGAGGGATCCACCGCTCTCTAAACACATGAAAAACTCTAATTCGGTGGATTTATCCCCTTTTTCTTTTTTAACATTGAAGCCACGAATGTGACACAACCGAAGATTGTTCTGTGGAGTCAGAAGCTGAAACCATGATCTCACGATATAAACCGGTAAGTGCTCCGAGCGCCTCTTTCTTTGTGGGGGAAAGCCCGCTGCTCTCTTCCTGCACTGTGGGATTTTTCTGTTTAAACCACGTGGGGAAAATACATAAATCTTCCAGTTAAACAAACATAAATTCACAGAGCAGAGCCAGGTCAGCGGATCACTGCGAGGTCTGTAATTGGACCATTGATCACTGGTGTAAATCATATGAGTCAAACATGGACTGTGCAGGTTTTTTAACACTGGCATCAAATTGTCACAGCAAATACATTTTAAGACCCGTAACCCTGCCTTTACACATGCACTCAAACAAATGGTGCAAATCACTTTACTTCAACACAAATGCTCTTATCTGCTCAGGCAGTTCTAACCCAGAGGATTTAAGACCACATTACAATGGTCGCTATTTTTGGTGCTGTTTTGATGTTTAGGTTACTATAGTCCCTGTAGCATCACTAGCGCATGTACGTTCACCTTTATTGTTCTGTCTTTTACTCCAGAAGCTGATTTTCTGATTCTCTTTGTTCATGTCTGCTCTCTATCTGTTGCTTTAACCCACTCAGGGTCATTCATGGATGAATCCGGTGTGTTAACACAGAGTGTGTGCTTTTTTTTCTTTATAAAGCAGCACTTTATTTTGAAACGGATATGTTGGCAATCGCGAGAGGAAATGGGTCATCCCTCGTCATTCCTCCCATCATTCTCCATGTTGGGTATTTTCAATAAAAATAATTGTTACTTCCCTTTTTTACTGTACATTTTCATTTAAAGTCCCCATAATTAAGCTTTTTAAATCTCTTGCTGTGGTTTTTATACATTTTATAGACTGTAACTTGCTGCACCTGTTGCCATTCTCATCCCCAAACCTCTAATCTTGTATATCCAATTGATTATTTGGATTTCACACCATCTATAAAAGAGGTTGCTCACTTCAGAGGTCACACCTTAGATTAAGTGCTCTCATCTAGTTTTGCTCTTTGCTCTCTTGAATACACCTACCAGCAGCTTCTCTGCTTTCATGCCTGCACTGAGGGATAATCTCAGTCATGACTCCACATCTAAAACCTGAACCAGAACCTTAAAGCCTGCCTAAATCGGAACATGTGATAACACAACCTTAGAAAAAAAGACAATTTTTGATCAATTTTCAAAAAAAATTCCATTGAAAAACTTTAAAATATAACCACCTTTGAAATCTAAATGGTAATTTATCAGAAAGCAGTTTGACTGATGACCAAACTCCAAAATGTAATTTCTTTCTAAAGTTGTGGAGGAGGTATATTGTGCACAAATCATGATAATCGTGTCTTAACAGCTTCAAGGATTGTTTCAGAGTATCTCATGAAATATGAAAAACTGCAGCTGACGATGAGCACAGACTAAGGAAAACATCTTTAGTTCTTTTAAATTAAAATGTTAATGTTAAACATAAAATTTCCCCTTGAATCATTTACAATCCTGGGTGGAATTTGGGGTTTGATTTAAATGAATCACACCTATACCACAGAACCTTGCTGCCATTCTGAACCATCACCCGTGGTGTGCCACAGGGTCGAGTCTTCGGATCCCTTCTGTTTCTTTGCAAGTAGTTCTATACAGATAACACTTTAATGTTTGTGTATTTAAAATTTACACACCTCAAAATACTTGCTCATTTCACAACTTGTCTTTTTTGTAATTGAACAGCATCAGATGCTCAAGGTTTCATAAATTATTTCTGTCTTGACTGTTTTATAACTGACACAGAACAGTAGAACATATTGGGGAAAATGAACATTTTAACACAATAGTTACTCACTGAGCTTGTTGTATGTTTACCTGTTTCCTTTTTCCATTGTACACCAGCATAAATGTGACATAAGGAGCTAATTGATGTGCTCTGGGTGTGAGTTTACATGGCTACCACTGATGTGAATTTCTCTTGCTGAGTAAAAATAACTCTTCAGCTCCTGTTGACATTCAGACTCTCTCTTATCCCTGTAAAACACACTGATTGTAATTAATGACCTTTAAAATCCTCTTTAGAGTCATTTACACACTGAAAGGTGAGAAACCATGGTTTTCACAGCTTGCAGGCTTTAAAGTCTAAGCAAAAACGACACTTACATTGACTTAACATATTAAGTTTCTTAAAGTTTCCATATCAAGATGGAAATAATTCAGTTAATATCACAACCATCTCTGCAGCTGCTCATGCTTGGAGACCTTTTTGAGGTTATTAGTCTGGATTTACTTGTTCAGATGTAAACGTGCAAAATATTTTATAATCAAATGATGAAACTCTTTTCAGAAATGAACCAGGAGTCAATTCCTCAAACCATTTGCAACCTAAACAATGAAAATGTTGTTTGACAGAGCACCAGTCGACACCCCAGCGGTGATGCTATACTCTGTATGTATGGCACGCTGGGCTGAGAGATTCCCAAGCAACTGAGTCTGAGTCTCTCTGCTGGACAAGCCATGTGACACCAATTCTAAAATTGCCAAGAGATCCCCCTGTGTGCCAGAAAATAATGAAAGAAAATAATTTAGTTCATCTTGGATAACCAAACGTCTGGCCTAATAAACTAGCCAGGATCTTTTTGCTTTAAATCTTTATTTATTCTCATAAAAGCACATTTAGATCATCTCATGAAATATGAAAAACTGCAGTTGTATCGTTAGTTCTTTTAAATTTAAGTAAATGTTAAAGTTTCCTCTTGAATTGTTTACAATTCTGTGTGGAATTTAAGGGTTTAATTTAAATAACTCAAGCTTCTAAAACAGAACTTTGCTGCCATTCTCAACCATCAATGGCTCAGCTGACCCGTGGTGTGCCACAAGGTCGAATCTTTGAACCCCTTCTGTTCCTTTGCAGGTTAAGGTAATAGGGTTTGTTACCAGCCCTATACAGATAACTTTTTTATTCTCAACAAAAATTGTATCCAGATAATCCTTTAATTTTAAGGTAAAATCCAGAAGAACTTTGATTGTATCATCTAAAAGAGAAGCAAATACGAACAGGTTTTAGTTGAAAAAGCAAAGCTGGTGCAAAACAAACATCTGGAATAGTTTGTTGTTATGATAAGAAAAGTTTTGCTTGCATATTTCTAATGGAAAGACATCAAGAGCATTTTTATTTTTTTGATGTTTGGATCTAAAGCATCATGTTTGTACATCTGTGTGTGAGCTCACATGATCGTAATGTATTTTATCTTGTACACAGCCTCCACTCATGTATGTGGTCAGCATGTAAACTGCTCCTTACACTGAGTTTATCTCCTGATCACATGAGGGTAAACATGAAATACATTAAGTGTGATTATTTTAGCCACAGAGAAAAAGGTCTGTGAGGCTTCCTCCAGTTGACAGATGGATTAATAAAATTGTCTCCCATGTGGGCCTGACCTGATCCATCTATAAGTCAGCAGCGAGCGGGATCTCTCCCAATTGGACCAGAATCACACATTCACCCATCTCAGGAATTCATGAATATTTTATTACATCTTAATTAACATGCTCAGCCCATTTCATCCAAATAAAATGTCAGAGACAGGTTGAGTAAAACAAGAAAATGTGCTGTTTTGATTCAGCTCCTCAGCTCTAGCGCATGCTTCTCACGTACCTCTGTGTGACGTTTGCAGTGTTCATCCAGAAGCCTACCCCCGATGTCTCTTTCCTTCCTCTCTCTCTCTCTCTTCGTCGTTCCCTCCTGCCTTCACCTCCTACATATACGGCTCTTTTGCTTACACCTTCAGGCCGCCTGCACACTCTGCCCCCCCTTTTCCCTCACCATCCAAGGTCGACTTTGAACTCTCGTTTCTGAAGAGACAGGAATAGCAGGTGCACTGCAGAATGCCGCTACAGCTCGGTATGTGTGTCTGTTTGTGTGCACGAGCACTGTGAGTGTGCCTAAATGCATTCTGGTGGAGCTGTGCAGCGCTGTGCTCGAGCAAAGACTCCGGCTTAGAGGATGTCTGCAGCATGCAGGCAGGCGGGATGCAGATGGTTCTCACCAGGATGGGGAAAGCTGCTTAGACAAACAAAGAGGAGAATGATCCGCTACTGCTGAACCCGACTCTGACTCTGTCTCCAGTTTTTATCTAGAGCTGATATTTTGGAACTGAGTTAGACAACAAGGAGGTCACTTTGGGAATAACCGCTGAAGACGCAGCCTTGGGTTGCTTTTGAAACAACGACATGCTCTGAACACACCGTCTTCTTGCCTGTCTCCTCTCTGTCTCTTCCTCCTCCTCATCTCCCTGCTCCCTGCAGAGTCCCAGCTCCACCATGTCCTTGGCGTTCTGTGGGAGCGAGAGTAATTCATCGGCGTACAACGTGGACAGGGGTGTTCTGAACAATGGCTGCTTCCTGGATGCTCTTAATGTGGTCCCACATGTTTTTCTCCTCTTCATCACCTTTCCCATCCTCTTCATCGGTGAGTCTGGCAGGGAGTTGAGATTCCCAACCTGATCACACACACCATCCTGCACAGGACACACTCCGCACACACACGCCAGCACAAGTTGATCGACCAACTCTCAGCACCCTGCACATCTGCCCTAGCTATTTTATCTCTTTCAGTTTATTTACATTTTAATTCTTTCCATGTTTTATTTCTCTTGAAGTCTACAAACCTCAGTGCACTTCATTTATTTCTCATTAATGAGATTCTTTGGCTGTGCTTCTCTTTTTCAGAGTTAAAGCACGTATAGCTCTTGGTGCAGCAGAATGTCCGGATGTTTCACCTCTCATTAACACCACATTTTTTCACAGCTGATGGGATGTTTCATGCTTGAACTTTTACAGAAACATGCACACAGCTCATATGTTATAATATCTGCTGCAGCTTGAAGATCTGCAACAGTCAAAACTGAAAAAGTCTTATTTTTAATAGAGGTGGAATCTATTCTGAAAGCATCCTAGTCACAGAGAACTGACACACTGGAATAAAACGACGTGACTGACTTGCAATTTGCAGGCAAATGTGATACTTCTGGTGGTATGCACTGTAGTGCAGGGAAGCAAAAATGATGCTGGTGTTGGTTTACGCCTCGCCGTCTCACCTTTCTGGCTGCTGACCGTGCTATTAGTGTTGTCACTGTAGTGTAACACAAGTGTGAACACAATTTGCTGCTACACGCTCTGGCTTCTTCATCTGCTCTCCTTTAGTGTTCGTTGTATATCTGTGGTAAAGGTTGCGTCATTTACTTGAGGAGCTTCAGAATCAAATATTCCTAGCCAAGTGAGGAGGGGACAGAGGATGCCCCCAGAAGGACTAAACTGTATTTACAGGATGTGGGAGAGGTCATCTACAAATCTAAAGGTCACTTGTTTGATCCCTGGTCTTCAAAGCGGCCTTAAGCAAGATGCTGAGTCACATGCTGCTTCGTTTGTGTTCTTCTGTTTCTATTTCAACGCTTTACTAAAGGTAGATATGTACAGTGCCACTATCAGGTTCAGCAATTGTACCTTGACACGTCAACTGCACGTGTCCTCCAAAGCATCACCAGGTGTTGGCTGGATGAGGCTTAATCAGCTGGTTTTCCATCTGCTGGAGCGGCCACACCCACCAATGTCAGATGGTCTCTTAGCGGGAATCCTAGGTGCGTGAAAGCTGCTAGACTCCGTCGCTCCAGCTGATTGACCTCTGGACTAGTTTCCTCATCTCAGTGGCTTCTTTTGTAAGGATAGATGCTGATTGATCATTCTTGTGTTTAAACTAACAGTGTGTAAATGTGTCACGGAGGCTTTCTGAGGTACGAGCAAACAGAGCACACCCCATTGTGGACAGTGATGGTCCATATGAATGCACGTATAATAACTAGAAACAGGAATTTAAGTATGGCTGACTCATGCTGCCAAAACAGGCAACTTATGAATAAATGTAGAAATACATAATTATAACATTTATTTGCAGATTTATGTGCAGCTGCCGCCACATCGTAGCTCATACCCACCAGCGTGTGAATGTGTGTGTGTGTGTGTGTGTGATTTACTGATTGTGTTGTAAAGTGCCTTGGGGGGTTGTAGAACCCTAAAGCCTGGGGCACACCGGCGGCAGACGTGCCGCGTCGCACCCGCTGTTCTGAGAAGTCAAGTGGTCACACAGGACACGCAGCGCCGCTGAGGGCTTCTTGGAAAGTCGTGCGATAGTCACAACATCACGTGGGACTTGAGAACAGGAAGCCGGAAGTGACTCTATTGTTTATACTTGCCGTCATGTTTTGTGAGATTCTAATTCATTAAAAATGAATAGAAATGAATATGTTATTTATTAGAATATTTTAAGATCAATAGTACTTTAAAGTTATCAAAACTGCAACTGGGTTTGTGACGTAAAGCCGTTCCGCGTTTTGTGTCTGTTGTAAAGTAAAGTAAAAGGCAAGCTTCCTCTATCGGCGTCTTTAAATCTCGTCTGAAGACCCCCTACTTCACTTACGCATTCAATCCCTAATTCCATAACTCCTTAGCTCATCCATTGTCCCTTCTAGACAATTCAATTTTAATTTTGTGTTTTTATATTCTGGTTTTATTTGCTTTTACTGTTAATAGTCTGTTGTTTTATTTCTTTGCTCCTTTTTACATTTTCCATTTACCTGACTATTTTAACTTGTGTTTTCTTGCTTTTTTTTGTGCAGCGCTTTGTATGGTTGTAATGCCGTGTTGAAAGCGCTATATAAATAAAGTGGTATGGTATGGTATGGTATGGTATGGTAAGTACTCCACCATGTTGTAAACAGCTGCAGCACGTGAGATAGAACTGGCGCTTATCTTCACCTCTCTCATTAACTATAATGGCTTCTAATGTAAATTGTGGCACAGCGTGGGCACGGGCGCAATGCGGTGTGTCTGTGTCCGGTGTGCCCTAGGCTTAAGAAGGCACTATACAAGCACAGGCCATTCACCATTTATTTGTATCTAATTTTATTTTGTGATATATTTATTTATATATTTACTCATTTGTTTATTTCTAATTTTCCCCAAACTGATTAATTAATTGCCTGTATTGGCAGGACGAGTCCTCTATACTTAAAGTGGAGGTTAAAACAAAACAAGCACCTCCTAGTGACAGGTTTCAAGTTGCAGCATTCTCCTTTTCATCTTCAAATATAACATTTTTTATGTGTTTAGCTGTTTTTGCACTGGAAAAAGTGATTTCTAAGAAAGTGAAGTCTAATTTTAAACAAAAGTGACTTGGCTAGAAATTGTAAAATTAGCAAATAATCAAAATTTAGATTCATAGCGACTTTGAAGAATAATAATCATCATTATCATCAACCTTTATTTATAAAGCACATTTAAACGGCGACAACGCCAACCAAAGTGCTGTACAAGACAATACATCACCAAACCAGATACAGCAAGATAAAATAGATAAAACAAATAAAAATTATATTAAAAAAACATGAAAGCACAAGGGTTAAACAGTCTCAGCCAGGAAGGCCAGGGAATAGAAATATGTCTTCAAACGTACTTTAAAAGTGGGAACAGAGGGGGCAAGTCAGACCGTCAGGGGGAGTTGGTTCTGAAGTTTAGGTGGACAAACTGAAAACGCCTGTTCACCATGGGCCATATAGCGGGCAGGAGGGACAAGCAGAAGGTGCTGGTCAGAGGACCTCAGGGTTCGCGCTAGAACATGGGGACTCAAAAGATGTGCCAAATAAGAGGGGGCCATTTCATTAATAGATTTGTAAACCAAATGGAGAATTTTGAACTTAACACGAAACCGAACTGGAAGCCAGTGTAAATTTGCCAAAACAGGGGTGATATGCTGCCTTCAGTCTATGCCCGTAAGAAACCTTGCGGCAGCATTCTGAACCAGTTGGAGGCGTACCACTGAAGAGGAGGGAATACCGTATAAAAGAGAGTTGGCATAGTCCAGACGGGACGTTACAAAAGCATGAACAACTGACTGAAGATCTTTTTTGTTCAAGACAGATTTTAGTTTGGCCAGCCGGCAAAGATGAAAGAAACACGACCTGACTACCTGATTTATCTGTGCATCAATTTTTAAAAAAGTGTCCAGAGTGACCCCCAAATTTGTAATTGTCAGCTTCATCAAAACTGACAATGAAGAGGTCAGAGATGGCTCCACAGCCGTGGGGGAGCAGGGGGCAAAGAAAATAGCCTCCAGTTTGGAGCTGTTAAGATGGAGAAAATTAGCCGAGAGCCAGGACTTGACTTCACTCACGCAATCAGTCAGTGGTTGCACAGGGTCAGCAGATTTTAGGGCCACATAAAGCTGACAATCGTCAGCATAGAGATGAAAATTTACCCAGAATTTTCTAAAAATGGCTGCCAAAGGTAAAATATATAGATTAAAAAGAAGCGGACCTAAAACGGACCCCTGGGGAACCCCACAAAAAAGGGGTGCTATTCTAGAGGTGCAATTCCCCAGGGCAACGTTAAAACATCTGCCATTGAAATAGGAGCGGAACCACTCTAAAGCTGTTCCACGAATGCCACTTAACTGCTCCAGTCTCTGTAATAGGATGGTGTGGTCGACAGTGTCAAAAGCGCCAGATAAGTCTAAAAGCAACAACAGCACACGAGAACCAGAATGAGAGACAAGCAAAATATCGTTAAAAACACGAATAAGGGCAGTCTCAGTGCTGTGGTGAGGACGAAAACCAGACATACAAATATCTAAAACATTGTTGGACTAAAGGAAATTAAAAATCTGGATGAAAAACCATCTTATCCAACAATTTGAAGAGGAAAGAGAGCTTCTATCCATATTAGCTTTTGTTATTTTACAGTTATATATTTTAATCCTCCAGTGTTTCCTCTGCGGAGCCCTCTGCCTTGGGGCCGGTGGTCAGCGGCGGCGGCCGGGGCGCTCCTCGGGTAGTGCCCGGGCAGTGGTGGGGGTTTCCGCCCTCCCCTCGGGCGTCATGGGCCGGTGTCTTGGCTGCTGCTGTGGATCTGTTACTGTCAGGGCAGATGGCTCCGCTGATGATGTGTCGTTCATTACCTGACCCATCTGAACTCAGCCTGTTGTTTACTCTGTTGTTCACATGTGTTCGTGTGTGTGTGTGTGTGTGTGTGTGTGTGTGCGTGTGCGGGTGATTGTATGTCCACCTTGGAAGTTGGGTGCGGGAGGGGATCTATGGGGCCATTTTAATCTGTGAAGCACTTTGAGTTGCATTTTTTTGTATGAAAAGTGCTATATAAATAAAGTTGATTTGATTTGACTTAGACATAGGGCAATAATTGTTCAGTCAATAGAGTCCAAGCCTTGCTTTTTTAGAACAGGCTGGACCACCGCATGTTTAACCTCCTGGGGAACAGTCCCCATCCTAAGGCTTGCATTAAGGATCTCCAGGATCGGCTGAGCAATTACAAAGAAGACTTCCTTCAGGAAGCGAGGGGGCATAAAATCACAAGGAGAGCCAGAGGGCTTCATAGCAGCCACTGTCTTCCATAGGGAGGAAGAAGAGATGGGGGAAAAACGCTCAAAGGAGTATAATGGAGAACAACAGGGGCTTCTGGTAGAGAGGGAGGCAGAATCTGAGCCCTAATTGTGGCAACTTTAGAGATAAAAAATGCAAAAATTGGGTGCACCTTTCCTCAGACGTATTAAGCAGAGGAACGTTGGGTGACAAAACTGCAAGCAACTTCCACTTACCCCATTGACAATTTCTTTTATTCAAAACAAGAAAATTTGGATCGTGTTTAACGAAATTTACCTTGTTTTAGGTGCTTTTTTTTCAAGAGAAGAATTTATTTGATTTTAAACAAGAAATAAGATAAAAAGTCAAAAGATGTGGCTTTTTTACTTTCTTAAAAATCTTTTTTTTTGCAGTGTGGTGTTTAAAACCTGGATGACATCCCCCAACATTTATTAGTAACAATAAAAAAAAGGTGGCACTAATAAAATCTATAAGTGTGAAGGTAAGAAGATCATTAACTTGTAATGTCTGTGTGATCTGCGGGCGTTCTTCCCTCGTCCCGACCATTCTGAGCTGATGGGCTTTCACTAATAGCTTCACCACTAAAGACAAACCTCAGGGGGTGTGAAACCTTTTCTGCTCACCTGACAGAAGCTGTCAACAGAAAGTCCTGGTTATGTACAGAAAGATGCACTCCAATGTGCGCTGGAGCTATGCCAGGTGTTGATCTGTCGGTGTTTGTGGCGGCTACTGGCGTTAGGCGATACAGTCCAAATAAAGACTGGATGGATAGATTAGGATGCACCAGCACACTAGCCTGGCCTGCCAGACTCCTCCTCTGTTTAATTCTGCACAGAGAAAGGGTCTGGGAACTCTCCTATTCTAATAACCCCGCCCCCTGAGAATTCTAACCGAGCCAATCAGCGCTGAGTAGCGTACGCCACACACCACAACGCTGAGTTTGTCATAAACATGGCGACTGAAGTGGAGTTTGCTGCGGCTCTTTACTCTGTTCTAAATGACTTGAATGACTTTAAAATGTATGTTTGTTTATGTGTATATGTAGTGGATACGTGTGTATATCTACATATGCATGTACATGTATATATGAAGTATGTGCGACCATATGGGCATGCGATGCACTTTAATGTTTATATGTATGAATAGGTATATGTACAAAAATCCTTTTGCTTTTTGAATTATTATTACTATTAATTTTTTCTTTTTTCTTTACAAATTGAAGTCTAGTTAGGTAACCAGTCAAGCAATTACTTTGTATAGGCTAATTTATAATTATTGTTATTTCAGTGGATAAATGTCATTTTAGTTAAAAAGGGGCAGAAAACATAAGTTTTCTTCTTTCTGTTCCCTTTTCATTTTCTTGGTTTGAGATACCTCATTTTATTGTTAGTATTGTTTTTTTTTATATTTTAATAATAAATGAAATATATAATAATAAAAAAAACACAAGTGGAAGCGCTAAAAGCCTTTCTTGTAAAGAAAGATGTTTGCGCTGTCGCCAGTCGCCTTTTTTGACTACAGCTGAAAAATTGCAGCGTTGCGCGGTACAGTCGGCTTTTCTGTCTTTTTTCTGATTGGTTATTTTTAAGCTGCCTAGTCCTGCCCCTCATGTGCCTCTGCCTGTGAGTTACCATACTCTTTGTGCAGAATGAAACGGGGACGAGTCTGGCAGGCCAGGCCACCAGCACACCTCTGTAAGAGTATTTACTCTGAGTCTGCTTTAAACCAAACCCCTAAACAAATCCTGGTTACATTAAAAAGAATTTGAAGCATTTGCTCTTATTTGTCTACAGAAGCAGTATTAGAATATTTTAAGTGGATGTGCACACATAATTTATTTAAAAGTTTGACTTCATGTTGACTTGAATTACAGCGAGGAGTGCTTGAACAGAATGAATTATTTTGCGTTCATGAAAAAGAGCTGAAGAAGAAGAGCTGCACTTCAGATCGAGTCTGTTTCAACACTTCAGAGTGAGACAAGCTGGAAAAGGTGCCAACAGCACCAGAGTTCCTTACGTAACTCCATCAAGGAGAGACTAGCTCTCACACAGGCTAAATGAATGATACACATTGCACTTTGATGACTCAGCTGATGTTATATCAGGGTGCGTACAGAGGCCAACATCTGTCCAAGTGAAAACACTGAGGTGGTTACAGCTCTGAGAAGAGCCAAATAAAAGGCTCAGGCTGGCAGCCATGGGACTACTTACTTAGCTTTGCCTGGCCAGCATCACTCTGTACTTAAAGTGATAATGAAACAAGCCGAACTTTGAAAATGACTCTGGCCTGCTGCCATCTTTGTAGTTTATCATCATGACCGTAAATCATGCATCTTTCTCCTTGTGTCAGTTTATGATGAAACAAGAGGCATCAAGGGTAAAGGACAAGGTTGTTTATCAGAATGTGGATTTAACAGCTTGAGACTCGAGAGCCGTTGTGTTTAACATTTATCTTCAAAATGTGAAAAACGTCTATTATATATATAATTTAACTAAAGCTTGATATGTTTCTCTGTTTGAGGTTGGGGCAGCCAGAGTTCAAAGGTCCACATCCACCACAGCACCTGGCTTCACTTTCCTGGACACAACCTGCGCTGGCTGCTCACCTTCGTGCTGCTCTTTATCCTCGTCTGTGAGATCGCAGAGGGCATCGTCTCGGATGGGTATGGAACCCTGAGCTAGCATTAGCGAGAGGCCATGGGGCCAGATGCTCTGTTAGAGAGCCACACTCATAAGAAACTTCACAAACAACATTACAGCAGCGATTCAGACCCACTCTGGATCCCTCCTTAAAACCACCCCTGAAGATCATGTTGAATTTATTTACATATTTTGATGTTTTACGTTAATTTTAAGTATTGTAATTAGTACAAATGCTGCCAGATTCTGAGGAAATTCGTGACTTTTGGTCTGGTTGTAAAACAGGGATGTGTTCAGCATTTTGTGCCACAAAATTGAATTTTTTTCCTGATTCTTCTTTATTAGTGTGCATTAGTAGTTCCTCAGAGGGATTTTATTATCTAATCAAACACTGCGATCCACCACTGATGGAAATTCAATCCAATTAGCTGCAATTGGCACTTCCCAAGCCACCACTCATCATCAGCATCAGGCTTCTTATCAGATTTGATCCGTCAGTCGCTCTGGGATAGAAACCACACAGAGTTGAGGATATTTTATTATTTTTATGATGCAGATGTCAGGACTGAAAGACCGAAGGACTGTTTGGAAACCTGTTTGAATGGTTCTTAACTTTTATGTCTGGATTACTTGAAATGAAATCACATTTAGCAAAAAGCTTCTAATCTTTTACAGAGGATGCTTGAATTCAATGCAAATCTTTAATTGAATTACTGACAACAAATCAAATAAAGAGAAACATAATTTTACTGCAGACAGTTTCGCATCAGATGTGTTTCTGCGCAAGAGCGGATTTCAAACCTGGCGAAGGTTTCAGTTGGAGGTTTCTTTAAACCGATTTTCTGCAGATTAGGATCCATAATAAGTTTAACAAACCCCAGATGAGTAAATGTGTTCCTATCATACAAACCATAGCATGTGTCAGAAGGTTTATTCATGCAAAGAATAATGTAGGTAATAAAAGAAATATTTCTGCAGAAATAATGTAGAGAACAAGTGAACCAGTTTCCTCTAGGGTAACAATTCATGCAAACTCTTATTGACAAACCTTCATGTCAACATCAGTTGTGCATTATTTGAAAGTTATGATTTAGAACATTTTAGCTGATTTTTATGATTAAATAACTGCCAGCAGCTCAAACCGCTACATTTGTCACCATGAAGCCTGGATCACTTCTAACTGAAGCATTTTTTTTCTGCTGGAGTATGTTTATGTTTATGTTTATATGTATTTAGCAGACACTTTTGTCCAAAGCGACTTACGAGTGATAACCGGCATGTTGCCCTTGAGGCTAGAAGAAGAAGAAAGTATCATTTCTATAGCACCTCAAGATAAAAATCACGAGGCGCTTCACAAAAACAAAAAATGTAAAAATATAAAAAAGCATTTAGAAAATGTTTAAAAATATATTTCAAATGAGCAAAAAGAGACAATTGTGATAAAAAAAATTGTTAAGAAAGACAGAGAGAATAGGAAAAAGGGAAATCAACAACTAACAACAACAACGTGACATCAATCATGGAGAGAAGGGAACAAGGAGTGGACAGCAGAGAGGGGGCACGGGTGTAGGGAGGGTGAGAAGGGTGTTTTACTTGTGGGTTTGGCATGATGTAGTTCCAATTACATTTGAATTATAACAGAGGCTTGACTTAAAAAAACTTTCAATGAAAGAGGCTCAGAAAAGACAAACTCTTCTCGTTCCTGCATCCTTCTACATCTCAGCTCAGTGTCCTTTAAGAACGAGAGGAAATAAAGACAGTTTTTGTTTTGACAGTAACACTCAAACTGAAATCAGATTGTTTTTTTATTGTGCTGTTTACACAAACTTCATGAATATAATTACTAAATTAAAAAGCAGTATTATAAGTGAGATTTTTTTATATTTGCAGGTTTTATTCTAAAACATTCTAAAATGTGTTAAAAATTATAATTAGCTTTAAATTTTTTGAACCATCCAAATTAAAACTGTAACATTTTGTTTACAATAGGTGATGTAATTTGACACATGGCTGTAGCCTAAGTCTCCTCCCTTTCCGGTCGGCTCATGGGTCCCCGGAAGAACGAATGAATGAATGAATGAATGAATGCAAGTCAATGAGGCAAAAAGAGCTATTTTCTGATCCGGTCTGCCTTAGACCCTGGATCACACATATGTTGTACTTCTATTTAATTGAAAACTAATGATGGGTGTTTCGTCCACGCCAGTCATGTACTTATCTTTATCAGCTTGTAAAAATGTGTAATTAGCATGACTACAAATCAGCCATCGGCACATCGCATGTACTACTAGAACAGGGGCTTCCTAGTCGATTTTCAAGAAACGCCCAAAGACCCAGCTCTTCAGAGAGCATGTTCTAAACTAGCACCCTCCCAGCACCTGTCCCGATCTCTACTGCATACTCCATATTTGTTTCCCTCTATGATTGATCTTGCCGCCTCACTGCCACCTACGACTGACTGAATAGTGTTTGTTGTTAGCCTCAAGGGCAACCTGATGGCTTGATTATCACCTGTAAGTCACTTTGGACAAAAGCTTCTGCGAAATGCATAAACATAAATGACGTCACGTCACAGAATCTCCTCTCCCCTAGCATAGCTGCTACTTACCACATGGTCATTTTCACGGTGGTTCTTTCCTCCTGAAGGAATGATTTGAAGTTTGCTGAACTTACAGCCATTTTTCCTCTGTTTTTCTCCGTGTCTGGTTCGATGACATCACTATGGCGATACGCATTTGTAGTCCTGGACTCATTTTTACACAAAACCTAAAATAATGTTTCCTCCCATTTGAAAATGAGCACTTTCTTGCTATCAGAATGTATCTTTAAAATTCCCAGACATCACATGTGAAATCCATGGCACAAAACAAGCGGAATTAAAAAAATAGCGTTTTATCCCCATTGACTTGCATTCATGTTTTCATTCTTCCTGGGACACATGGTCCGAAAGTAGATGGGCGTGAATTAAGCTCTTTACATAGTAAAAGGAACACATGTATGATCATACTAATACTGAAATGGAATCAGATAGTGGTCGGATAGTGATTTAATGGTAAAGCTTATTGTTTCACCAATGCACAACGTCTCAGCTGATCACAGCAGGAAGTTCATCCTCCAGCTTCAACTGTGCAACACTTCGCTTTTAGCTAAAAGCAAGAGTTTATGTATTTTGTTGCCAGCCGGCGCTTCATCCTCCTGCTTCACCAACAGCTGACAGGAAGCAGATGAGGTCATGAGACAAGTGTTTGTGCCCCATTTCCATCGCTGCCAACAAAAAAGAGGCAATGTGCTGCAGCGGTCTTATTTAGTAGCACATAAACATGCCTGAACATCCACTATAGATGTTAAAATGCTCTTTACTCACAGCAGGATTTAATTAGACCCTAAATTGTTTTTATAAACCCGTCAAAAAGCTTCATATTTTAGGTTTTGTTCTGGTTTTCTGCCTCTTCTATGTTGATTTGAGTGTTTTGGTGATTTATGTCCATCAGTGTTTTTCACAGACAGGAGAGGCTCACAGAAAGCTACTTGGTAGATCAGGAGAGTCTTCGAGTGGGTTCCCAGCATGCTCTCTGTCTCCATGTTTGATGTTTGATGGGACACCTGCTTTACGAGTAGTTTCATCTTCTAAACTAGCACCCTCCCTGCACCCGTCCCCCTCTCTACTGTCCACTCCTTGTTCCCTCCTCTCCATGATTCATCGTGCTGCCTCACTGCCACCTACGACTGACTGGAAATTGTTTGTTGTTGTTGTTGTTGTTGTTACTATTGTTGTTGTTAGCCTCAAGGGCAACATGCCGATTATAACGCTTTGGACAAAAGCGTCTGCAAAATACATAAATACATAAACATCTCTATAGGCTTACAAACATCCAAAAGTCCCAGCATCGGTGTTCAAATTGTTACAAATAACTAATCATTTGTTCTTCTTCTAACGTGTTTCTTCCTCGATCTTATTTTCCGTTTTCAGGTTCAGCCAGTCCCTCCATCTTCATCTCTACATGCCTGCAGCTCTGGCCTTCATGGCTGGCATCACTTCTATTGTTTACTATCATAACATCGAGACCTCCAATTTCCCCAAACTGCTGTTAGGTACTTTATTCTCTGATACTTCTGATCAACCCATCTTTATTTTGCTCAACCTGGTGAAGTTTTCTAAGCCTTGGTAATCCCAAACCCTCAAAATAAACACTTACCATGTTTTAAGAGAAATTTTAACCTTGTTTTTAATTTGATATCTAGAAAAAACTCTGGCTGGATCATCAATTTCTTGCTGATTAAATTTCAGATTATTTTAGATGAATGAAAGTGGATAATAAAAAGAATCCTGCGTCACTGAACCTGGACATCAGAGCAGGCCCGATTCCTGTAGAACCATCTATATATTGTGAATTGGCCTCTTGTATAGCCACTTGCACATGGACAGTCCATTATCTTCAAATTAGACTCAGGGTCAGAATCAGAGCAAACTAAGAGAACTGAGATAATGAGACATCTTGCATTTTTAATATAAGACTTTTAGTCTCAGTCTAGTTTCTTATCTTCTTACCCTTCATCATGGTGGACCAGCCTCATGCAAAAACCACCCTGCTGGTGCTCCTAATGTAGTTTTTATTTACTTCTCATGCTTCATTAACTTATCTGCATGCAGCCTCTGATCTTTTACTTCCACTGGACTGGATCTCCAAACTGCCTTTGGCTTCACGGTTTCCATATCACAGCTAGACAGATATTAATCTTCCTATAAGAGGCTCTGGCGCTGACCCGCAAGCTGACAAAGTCACGCCAGAGAGGTTCTTCATCACAAACAAGGGAACTTCTGCAGGGCCAGACTCTGTTCTTTGATCTGTGAGGCTCTGCTTTCATTTCTGGACTTTCAGAGTTTATAGTAAACCTCTTAGAGGTCCCTTTCACAAAATATCATGAAACAAAGGCAACGTTCTTCGCTGGTGTTTCTTTGACCAAACTGACAGCTGATTAGCAGATATAAGAAGATTTAATATGCATCGGACCTTAAAGCTAATTCCTTAAAGGCGTGGAATGCTGACAAACAATTTTTAAATGATTATTTCTGATTGTAATCAGCCACTCTGTGTTTTTCATGCTGGCTGAACATGAAAATAGTCTCCTACACCTTTCTCCTGCATTAGCTTCTGATATAAAATAGACGGTGAAACTCTAGGATTAGAAAATCCTGACAGATCTACTACGCTCTAATTTCCCTCTGGGATTAATAAAGTATCTTTGAATTGAATTGAAATGACTTGCAAGCCATTCGATCTTTCTAGAGACCACTGCAAGTGTTCTGATTAAACAAGTGCACCACACCTTTAACCTCCTGGGACCCAAACTGGAATTTGGTGTGATTTAAAAGAAAAAAAAAACACCTAGCTGTTAGAAATTAGTCGACTGTAATTAAGAGAAACAAAATCACAAAAATTTAATTACAATAAAAATTCTATAAAAATGTTGTCAAATATCCTCAAAAAATGCAACAAAAAGGTACATTTAAGTCAATATCAAGTGCCTATAAATTATGACATAAAGGTCTAAGTAGAAGAGAATACATTTTTAGAGTGCAAGGAGCCAATGTCCACATGTGTGGACACAGGGCCCTAGGAGGTTAAAAGAAGAAAAAAAGGCTTTTGGAAATAAATTGCATCAAAAATTCAGCTTAGATTTTTCTTTATAATTGTAGAAAATGTATTAGACTCTTGCAGAAACCCGTGAACAGAGTAATTCATAGTTTCCTCTCGTCTTTGTGATTTCCTGTTTGTCTTTTCTTCAGCCCTGCTCATCTACTGGGTGCTCGCCTTTGTTATGAAGACCATCAAGTTTGCCAAGTACACAGAACATGGCATCAGCCCCGGGCAACTCCGCTACTGCATCACAGGACTGCTGGTGCTGCTGTATGGGCTCCTACTGGCTGTGGAGATCAATGTCATCATGGGCAGGGTGAGTGTGTATGAGAGAGAGAGAGAGAGAGAGAGAGAGAGAGAGAGAGAGAGAGAGAGAGAGAGAGAGAGAGAGAGAGAGAGAGAGAGAGAGAGAGAGAGAGAGAGAGAGAGAGAGAGAGAGAGAGAGAGAGAGAGAGAGAGAGAGAGAGAGAGAGAGAGAGAGAGAGAGAGAGAGAGAGAGAGAGAGAGAGAGAGAGAGAGAGAGAGAGTCAGAAGTGCAGCCAACAATTAAATAAAACTCGTAGCTAGCATTTATAAAGTGAGGGAAACAATCAGTTGGCTCTAGGGTTGTTCTGGTTCACAAATCTGTGTTTTCCTCTTGAAAAACTGAGGAATTTGCCAAATTTCGAAGTGGATTTCTATTTCTTCTGCAACAATCTTTCATGCACTCAAACTGCTGTAAAACATGCACTCAACTACAACCTGAAATAAAGATTTTTACTATTTGCACATCTATATGGGTCACCTTATAAGTTATGTTCTCACCTGCATTTCAATTAGCTGTGGTGAGTTTGCAGTTTTATTATAAACTATGTTTGTTTATAAACAGCCTAGATTAAAAAAATCACTCATTCACAGAGGCATAAAGCTCAACTAGAAGTCAAAGACAAAGAGCTCAGCCTAACCCATTCAACATCTGGTGGCAAAAAGGAGATAGGAGCATTTCTAAACACATTTAAATTCCCTTTTTATTGATCGCACAAGAAAGACGTCAGTTTAATCCTCTGCTTATTCATTTTTTGACATTTACAGTCATCCGACCCCCACTTGAACACCAGAGGGAAAATGCCAGAACCATGTACGTTTGTCTGACTATTTTTCCTCTGGACACTTCAGAGTCTGTTTATCTCTGTTAACCTCTGCACCAAACACACATCTGTTACTGCGCAGGACTCCCCAGGGAAATCGTCCCATCATGGCCTGCACTCAGCCTCCTGCAGCTGCATTTGTTATCGTTGAGGATTTCAATGTTCATGCATGCACATGATCGCAGATAATTGCTGCTTCATTGTCCAGTTAAATATTATTTAAGTGTAATCTGCTTGGAATTAATTTTAATTTGATTTCCTGTTTTTAAAAAAAATCTTTTTTGTTTAAAGAGTTTTGTCAGATCTCCTCAGACTAATTTTAATATAACGAACCTGCTTTTTAATATTGGTAAAACAGGAAGAAAAAAGTAGTAAGATAAAAAATCTAATTTTCCACTTCCTGTTTACAAGATAGCATTAGCATTGCAGCCATTAAAGAAAGGTACAGCAATCGATGTGGATCACGTCAGCCATTGATAGCATTAGCATTGCAGCCATTGGCTGTGTTCGAGATAAGCCAGTTCTGTGCAGATTAGATCACCGGTGATTGGCGCGCAATGCTTGCCGGTTAGCTTTGTGTCCGACTTGACGCCGACTTGCTCTGACATCATGCATACGTAGACAACGATAACCTCGGGAGATCAAGGCGGCCGCAGATTTTGGAGCAAGGCGCTGCAGTTGCTCTCCACCGGCTGCAAAACCTAGGGCATGTCGGGAAACGCCTGGCTCTCTCCTGATCTAAGATCTGATTGGTTCACATTTTGATCCAAACATCCGGTGGTTGAATGCAAAATGTTAGTTGGTCACATGTATTCTGTAAATCATGCAGCGTTGATGATGACAACTATATAGGCCACAAAGAGGAATGTGATTTGTGTTATTTTGTCACGTTTCCTATGAGCACACTAAAGCTACAGCTGATAACCTTTACTTAGTATTACAGTCAGGTCTCCATATACATTATATGATATCCACAAACACGTGAGGATGTGTTTCGGTTGCTAACAGGCACCAGAATCAAAATAAATAATTGAACAAGTATGAACGCTAACGCGATATCTTCACCCATCGTCACCCGTGAGCTACACATGTAGGGAAATCTGTCCGACTTAAATGCCGGCTTTCAGCCACTCCCACTGCTGCGTCCGTCTGCTCTCGACTGTTTTCCAGGCGAGGCGCTGCTCAACTCGAACAAGGCCATTAAAGGAAGGTATAGCAATCGATGTGGATCACGTCAACCATTGGTCCGCAAAAATATCAATTTCTGATGAAGCCAATCCTGGGTTAGTTTTCACTTCCTGCGCATGCGTACTCTGTGCACCCCGAACTCGCATGGAAATCAGGAAGAGGCTAACATCGTCCAGTCCGCTCCCTACAGACGCCGCTGTTGCCGGTTTTCTGCTCGAGACGTAAGCTAACGTTCTGCATGCTATTTTTAGAACCTCTTATTACACATTACGGTCGGCAGCTACTTGTAAACAGGCGCTGGGAGAGTGTTGCGCAACGTGGAGAGGGCGGTTCTTTCCTGAAATTCAGAAACATCGATTGCTATACCTTTAATATGTAGACTCACCACTGGGTGCTGGAGAGCGTAACAGTGTTGCCACCATATTGGGTGGGTTCCCCACTCTCCAAACCATCGCTCCAAACCCAACTGGAGTCGATGCAGGGTGAGCAACTACACCTGTTTTTTTGTGCAACCAATGGTTGCAACAACCGGCACACTATTGAAAACAGATCATATGGGATCACTGTTGGCTTTTCTAGTCCACCTGATGGAAGTTTATATTTTAATTCATTTAATTTTATTACATTTTTATTTTTATTATCATGGTAAAATGGCAAACACATTCACACCCTGGAGATGATGAGCTACAATGTAGCCACAGCTGTCCTGGTGCACAATGGCGGTAGCGAAACTACTGAACACAGGCATCACTGACCACCGCCAACAAGCAAGTTGGGTTAGGCAAGTGTCTCGCCCAAGAAGACGTGTCATATGTCTGATTTTGTGAAAAAGCAGAATAAAATGTGTGTTTTAGATGGGTAAACACTTTCCTCCATAGAAATAAATCCACTGGGGGTGAATGGGAACCCATCCAAAATGGCAGGTCACTGCTATGCCTGCTCCAATAGGCAGCGCTATTCCATGTCGATTCTATGTATATGATGTCTGTGATTGCAGCGCAGTTAGCTGCTAAAAGAAGCAGTGGAAAACTCGCATGAGCCCTTGCTTCAAAATGAAGTTAATGACTAGTGGGAGTTTTTAGGACCTGTTAAGCGATTTGATTGTGACCATTATGAAGAGAAATAGTGTGGTTTGTAGCTGATGTTTCGATGCTGCTGAGGGTGTTGTGATAAAAGAAGAAGTTAAATGCCACCATGAATAAAGTTCCTTTGGTAATTAGTTATTAAGCATCTGCTCTCCTCTAAGATTAGCCACATGGAATAAATGGAAGTAGGGATTAATGGCAAATTATCATTATTGTTTCAATCCTTGAATGTGGGTTTTGTGCGGAATGGGCAATAATTGACACATGCTAAGGATGTTCTTTGTATTTTGATGTAATTCATGTGACTACAGTGGCCTGGTGAGGACATTTTAGTGATTTTGTAAGAATAATTTAGACAAAGGTTCATTTATTTTCATGAATGGTATAGGTGAGGCCTTATAGAAGTCACGACTTCCACACATGCTGGGACGAGGAAGTCAAATGTTTCTGAATCCCGGACTGGAAAGACAGCGCCCCGCCTCTTTGGAAGGTTCATTTTAAAGTTTTCTCTGTGATCAGAACTCTTTAAAGGAGTGGACCACTGAAAACCCATTTTTAATGATTATTTCTGATTATGATCGGTCACTCTGAGTTTTTCATGCAGGCTTAATGTGTAAATAGTCTCCTACACCTATCTCCTGCATTAGCTTCTGATACAAAATAGACGGTGAAACTCTAGGATTAAAAAAAGCCTGACAGATCTATGTCACACTGTCACTTAACATTCATGCACTCACCCATCTTGACTCAAGATGAGGAAGGCTGTTGTTATTTTACTGTCCAGTAAACATCAGAGAATGTCCCGACTATTATAAGCTAACCATTAGCATTAGCAACTCCACCACTCAGCAGAACTCCTCCAGGCTTGTGTTTAGTTGTGGAGAAAAAACATCAACGTTGTATGTCTGTGGTTGAGTCGTGTTGCCGTTAGCCAATCAGAGGCAAGATGTTCAAATATCAGGAAATAAGACAACAGAACCTGCCGTCTGAGGCTCAGCTGTGATGTGGGTCACCACTAGTTTCTGGAAATGGTGCATTGGTATGCCCCCCCCCCCCCCCCCCCCCCCCAAGAACGACTTACAAGGCATTCGTCACCACTACAAATGCATTGATTAAATGAGTCAACCACATCTTTAACTCTTTGAAACATCAGGGTCGAGCTGTAACCAAACCTCTCCTTCCCGTTCCAGCGCTACATGTGTTTTGCCACTCCAATGGAAGTGAAGCCCCCAGAAGACCTCCAGGACCTTGGCGTCCGTTTCCTACAGCCGTTCGTCAACTTGTTGTCCAAAGCCACCTACTGGTGGATGAACACGTTCATCACCTCCGCTCACAGGCGGCCCATTGACCTGAAGGTCATCGGCAAGCTGCCCATCGCCATGAGAGCGCTCACAAACTACATAAAGCTCCGGCAGGAGTTTGAAGAGCAGAAGGTGAGGTCTGGTCGCCGAGGAAAGCGTTGAGCTCACGGCTCACGTCGCCATGCCTAAACATTACAGATCATCAATGCAGGAGCTTCCTGTGTGATTGTGGCTATTTCTGGACTTGTTTATCCAGCAGATGAGTGCAGATGGCAGCAGAGAAGATCAGGATCAGCTTAATATATATAAAAGTACACTTTAAAATGTTACGAATAAGAGGAAAACAAAGCTGCTGCTGCTGCTGCCCAAAGTTTAAATGTTTACACATAAAATGTATCTGAATCTAAAGCAGAAAAGATTACAAAGTAAATCTTTTTATTTGAAAATCATCAAGCGATTTAATTAGATTTTCTGCTGACAAACAAGATTTACTGTAATAATGTGCTGCTTATGTGACTCTGGTGTTCTCGGCGAACCATTTTTCAGCCCATTTGGCATTTTTTAGTTTCTTTTTTAAATCTCTTTGATATTTCAGTCTGACATTAATAAGATCTTTGATTCTTTATTATTCCGTTCTGCTGCTCTCATGTTAAAACAGCAGAGATGATTCAGTCTAGCCACGAAAAGGATCATTTTTATGACAAAGATTCTTCTTAAACAGGAAAATGTCAAACTACAACTATGTTATTTGTGCTCATTTATTTAGAGGAGCATCGTATTTAGTACTGTTGTTGTAGTTATTCCACTTGAGAACATTGTGAGGATTTTACAGACTTGATTACGTTTATTTTTTTATTTTTTTCTGCAGAGTTATTAATGCCTCAGCAGGAATCCTTCAAACCAAAGATAAGAGTTTTCAGAATCACATCAGTAGCATCTTTTAAAAACTCAATCGCCATGGTAACTGAAACTACATCGCCGTTGGGGGAGGTTGTGTGTTCAGATTTCTGGATGCTGAAGCTTTCCACAAATTAAAGAGCAAGTCACCCCCTACAAGAAACTTACTTCACTCCCTCTTCATGTTTGAATAATGCAACAAATGCTGTTGCCTAGCAGACCGAGAGGGCGGAGCCGCTAACAAATACACACACACACAGGCTCACAACGGCATTGTGACATCATAAGAACCAGTTTACATCATAACATACCTCTTAGCCAATAGCGATGGCAGATTTAAATCCTAATGCAGTGCAGAGTTTATACCTGACAACGGCACAACACTGACAGTTTTAGGCAGAAAATTGCTATTTTAACTAAAATGCACTAAAGTACAAAACTATTAACTGCACGTGTCTGCAGCACGACTAGACACACATCTATATAGTTTATCAGAAAAAAAGTTGATTTGGGGGTGACTTGCTCTTTAATTTTTGTGACTTTCACCTTTGAGTGATGTCACACGATGGTTTTTATAAAAAACACTTTCATACATTTGGAGATGCAGAAAACATCTGGTATCTTGTATTTAAGTCCTTTTGACCAACAAGTTATCCAGGGAGCATGCACTGAATTGATTTGATTAAAAACATTGTGATATTTGATATTGAATGTATATTTTATTACTTTAATATTCATTTAATTATATGTTTGCATTGTCACACATCATATCTTACCTCTTAAATCTCCATGTTAACCCTCTCAGGCTCAAAATAAGTTTTGATAAAAGGACGAACAACTAAGTCCTTCAGGGGTACTTCTGAGTTAAAAATGCTCATGAAACACGTACGTGGAGTAACCAGGTAAGTAGGTTTTACTCGTTGCAAATCTGCAACGCCTGCCTCCAGAGGGTCAATACCAATGCAAAAACTAAAAGTCTTTCATTGCTGAAACAATAAGTGTAATTTTACATTTATTCATCAAAAAGGAAGGAATTTAAAACGTAAAATAACTTTTTGCAGCCTTGATTCATTTTTCAGTAAGGATCATCTGCATTGTGTGTTTAAAGTAATTATTTACTTCCTGCTTTTTGTTTTCTTTCTGCATGATTTCTAGGAGCATTGTAGCTTCCTGCCATTAATTGTTTATATTATCACAGCATAAAAAACACATTTCCTGATTAAATTAAGTCCTAACCTTTTCAAATGGATAATGAACTAAAGGATGATGAGAACGTGAGCAAAAAACTTGAAATAACACAGAAAATGTATGACATTGGTTCTGATCAAGGTATTCAATTAAAAACAATCAAAAAAGGTTTTAATTCCTCAAAATTGTATTTCTTTGTTCAGTTTTGTTTTTTTTTAGGAACAAATCTGCAACTCTTACCCCCCAAAGGGACAAATAAATACACCACTACAGTATTTTAACTAGTATAACGACCATAAAACATCGAAGAAGCATACTACTCCTAATCTTTTTAGTCTCATTTCTGGAGCCCCCGTCATGGGGTCAGACGAAAAGGGCCTCCTCTGCAGGGTCGTTGTTTTCCAGTGTTTGGGAGGTCACTCGGCATTCGTCACTACTGCGTGTGCGTCCGGTGTGAGCGCTGTCCCGCTTCCTTCCGGCTTCGGCGAGGGGATGAGAGAGTCAGGGACATCCCAGTGGAGCGGCGGGGAAGGGCGGTGGCGGTAGACCACTGCGCCGGGTCAGTCCCGGTTTACTGTGAACGGGACGACATCCCGACCCCTGAGGGGGCTGAAAACAGTGCTCTTCATGGGAAGCTAGTTCCACTCAGACAGTGTGAGAAGTAAAAAACCTCCTTCCCAGTTGTTTGATCCTGGGACTGATGGGAGGAAGTGAGTGTGTGTGCGTAACAGTGACACGTGTTACGTCCGAGCTTTGATTCGAGCGCCAACAGGAAGACGGGGACTCATGATGGTGGTCACGTCTGTTCTCACAGATCTGAGAGTGACTGAGGGATTCGCTCTCTATCTCACCCACCCACCCACCCACACACACACACACACACACACACACACATACACACACGCACACACGCACACACACACACACACACACACACACACGCACACACGCACACACACACACACACACACACACACACACACACACACACACACACACACACACACACACACACACACACGCCTCTTTCTTTGTCGTAATGAAACCTGTGATGGATTTTTCATTTCCTGTCATCTAAAGCATTCAGGAGCTTTTACTGGCTGCTGTATCCTCTGCAGCCACTACTTCTACCTTTAAACATAAATCTATCTGTGGTGCATTTATTTGATGGACTCAGCTCCTCTCTGAAAGTTTCCCTTAATCACATTTTGTGATGCCGAGGCAGCAGCAGTGAGAACGACGAGCACCGCCAACTTGACCTCTTTTTTTGAGTTCCTGCTGTAGTTTGTGTATGAGCACTTCAGTTAATGGGGCTTTCGTGTCTAGGCAATTATTTCCTTTTTTCACTCTTTGCAGTGCGTTATTGTCTGACTCGGTGTATTTTCCTTTTGTTTTGCTGCCATGTTAGACTCCTCTGAAAAATGGCAGCAGCTCCATGAAGACTAAACCTTCTAATTTACTCCCTACTTCATCGGCAGCTACTGTTTTAACCCTAATGGAGCCACAGATCTTGTAGAGGTGGTGGTTATTGTGTGTGAATTAGCTGTAAAATGCTAAATTCTTTGCAGGAGGCCAAAAATGTTATATCTTACTGCTTTGAGCTGCGTTCAACAAAGAGCCTTTGATCTCAATAACACTCTGTCTCTACTTTCATACCTCCCATTCAGAAGCCTCAGGGCACGGCACCACAAGGTCCAAAATGGATCTGGCAGGCTTTGAGGAAAGCGTTCGGCAGGCCTCTCATCCTCAGCATCACGTTCCGCTTCATGGCCGACCTGCTGGGCTTTGCCGGGCCTCTGTGCATCTCTGGCATCGTTCACCACATCAGCAAAGACAATCGCACCATTCAGCAGCCGGTGAGCAGCCTCTCGTACACTAAACCTTCTTGAAGTAGCAGTAAAGGTTGAGTTTTTAATCACAGTTTCTGGGAAGAGCACAAGCATCACATGACAGAGATTGAGACCTCCTCTTTGCCTCTCAGAGGTCACAGTTCGGTGAGAGACATGTGCGACGTCCTCTTTCCCTGCTACACCTGCCTGATGGTGCACTAATGTAAGCCTCTTCAAATATTTACGAGACTTATTGCTGCCGTGGCTCTTTCTGCTTCTTGGATTCCACACGGCGCAGAAAAAAAACACTCTTTGGTACAAAAGAAAACGGGCGTCGTTTGTTACGGTGAAGAGCTGCAGTCAGGAAAGGCCTGGGAATTGTGAAAATCACAAATTTGTCAGCGAGTACTGGAGTTTAATAATAATAATCTGTTACTGAGAGAGAAACTGAGAACTATTAATGAAACCTTAATGACAAGTCTCCCTTTGAGGGATAATCTCCGCCTGATACAGAATGAAATAACGGTTGATGGAGATATTGTGTGCATCTCCTATAATTTCATCATAATCTTCTACAACAGCTGCAGAGGATGCGGTTCCTTTTACTTTTCATCGAGTTTCATAAATTTAAATGCCTCCTCTAAAACTTAAACAGTACATTTATTTATGAAGGGGTGAAACAGATTAATTTGATTAAACTCCGCCCTGAAGTGTCAGGTTCCTACAGGACCCACAGTAATAAATCAGCCTCCTCTTTCTACCTGCTTCTGATTCCAGATGAAGCTACTTGGCATCTATTTTATTTCCTCTAAAGAGTTCCTGGAGAACGCGTACGTGTTGGCGGTGCTGCTCTTCATCGCTCTGCTGCTGCAGAGGACCTTCCTGCAGGCTTCCTACTATGTAGCCATTGAAACTGGAATCAACCTGCGAGGCGCCATACAGGTGAGCCTGAGAAATGCTCCAAAAGATGTACGAATTCCCGCAACCTGGTTATTTTTAGATTTTTAAAAGAACATGGAACTGTCCTATAAATATTTTATTTCTGAGACGGTTAAATGAACAAGCTGCATTGATTAGAAGACCATATTAGAGTTAAATGTTACATTCTACAACAAATGATTGACTTTGCTGTCAAATTTGTTGATGCATGTTTGTGTTTTGTATAAAATAATAATCAACGAATCAAAATGTTGAATAATTTTAAAAATTGGGTCAAAAATATGGAAAAAAAATGAATGAATTTATCATTCAAATCAGTGTTTAAGGCGTGCTTTTGTGTCTTCTCTTCAGACAAAAATCTACAACAAAATCATGCGCCTGTGCACATCCAACATGTCCATGGGAGAGCTCACCGTGGGTCAGATTTGTAACCTGGTTGCTATAGATACCAACCAGCTTATGTGGTTCTTCTTCCTCTGTCCTAACCTGTGGGCGATGCCAGTGCAGGTAAGAGAGACGCCAGTCCCCTTCTCTCTTGTGAATGCTCGTCTCCACCTGGAGCGGAGCGGCATCAGTTTTTCTGCGTTTAAACGTCACAAATCTTCACTTCTTAGGTGTGTTCTTGCTGTGTCTTTCTAATTCCATGCTTTCGTTCTTTTTTAAACACAGAAACAGTTTTGTTTACCTGTTTGTAGCTACAGTTTCGCCGACGGCTGCCGGCTTCTTCAGGCTGACGCTGATGGTGGCGCGTCACTTCCTTCTCCGTTTATCTGCGGGCAGCAGAGGACGTTGTCACCCTCTACTGCTCGCTCTCCCCTCTCCGACAATGCAGTCCCATGCGTGGTCCAGCGTGTAAACTCCGTCGTCCCTGTTCATGGTCCCACATCCACGTCTCCTTATCTCGATTGCTTCCTTGATCCATCTTTTGTATTTTTGTTGTTCGGTGGTTATGATCCGTGTGCTGTCCCAGTCCATTATATGGTTTTCTCTTAAGCAATGATCTGTTACGGCTGACTTCCTTATTGTACTTTCTGCTTCTTCTTTTTTGTTTCTGTGTTTAAAAAAGAACAAAAGAATGGGTCAAATCTTCACTTTCATTTACTTTAACACCTTAATGTTTCCTCAGCTCTGAGCTGCAGAGCTGCAGTTGGCTGATTTGACTTTAATGCTTGCAGAAAAAGTGTTAAAGTCCACTGTTAAAACCAGGTGTCTAGGGGGCCTGGGGTAACATGGAGGACGCGTGACACAAAGGAAAATTAACAAAGGTTTTATTTACTTTCTCTTAATTCAGAAAAGATGACTATTATTATTTTAACCACCACGGATCTAAATCCCGTCTCGTCTCTCGTCTCGTCTTCCTCCGCTTATCCGGGTCCGGGTCGCGGGGGCAGCATCCCAACTAGGAGCTCCAGGCCGTCCTCTCCCCGGCCTTGTCCACCAGCTCCTCCGGCAGGACCCCAAGGCGTTCCCGGACCAGATTGGAGATGTAACCTCTCCAACGTGTCCTGGGTCGACCCGGGGGCCTTCTGCCGGCAGGACATGCCCGAAACACCTCCCCAGGGAGGCGTCCAGGAGGCATCCTGACCAGATGCCCAAACCACCTCAACTGGCTCCTTTCGATCCGGAGGAGCAGCGGTTCTACTCCGAGTCCCTCCCGAATGTCCGAGCTCCTCACCCTATCTCTAAGGCTGAGCCCGGCCACCCTACAGAGGAAACTCATTTCGGCCGCTTGTATCCGCGATCTCGTTCTTTCGGTCATTACCCAAAGCTCATGACCATAGGTGAGGATTGGGACGTAGATCGACCGGTAAATCGAGAGCCTGGCTTTCTGGCTCAGCTCCCTCTTCCCCACGACAGATCGGCTCAGCGTCCGCATCACTGCAGACGCCGAACCAATCCGCCTGTCGATCTCCCGATCCCTCCTACCCTCACTCGTGAACAAGACCCCGAGATACTTAAACTCCTCCACTTGAGGTAGGACCTCTCCCCCGACCCGGAGGTGGCAAGCCACCCTTTTCCGGTCGAGAACCATGGTCTCAGATTTGGAGGTGCTGATCCTCATCCCAGCCGCTTCACATTCGGCCGCGAACCTACCCAGCAAGAGCTGAAGGTCAGAGCTGGATGAAGCTAGGAGGACCACATCATCCGCAAAAAGCAGAGACGAGATTCTCCTGCCACCAAACTCGACACACTCCACACCACGGCTGCGTCTAGAAATTCTGTCCATAAAAGTGATGAACAGAACCGGTGACAAAGGGCAGCCCTGGCGGAGTCCAACCCTCACTGGGAACAGGTCCGACTTACTACCGGCTATGCGGACCAAACTCACGCTCCTCTGGTAAAGGGACTGAATGGCCCTTAACAGAAAGCCACCCACCCCATACTCCTGGAGCGCCCCCCACAGGGTGCCCCTGGGGACACGGTCATAAGCCTTCTCCAAATCCACAAAACACGTGTGGATTGGTTGGGCAAACTCCCATGCCCCCTCCATCACCCTTGCAAGGGTATAGAGCTGGTCCACAGTTCCACGGCCAGGACGAAAACCACATTGCTCCTCCTCAATCTGAGATTCAACTATCGATCGGACCCTCCTCTCCAGTACCTTGGAGTAGACCTTTCCAGGGAGGCTGAGGAGTGTGATCCCCCTATAGTTGGAACACACCCTCAGGTCACCCTTCTTAAAGATGGGGACCACCACCCCGGTCTGCCACTCCCTAGGAACTGCCCCCAATGACCACGCAATGTTGTAGAGACGTGTCAACCATGACAGCCCTACAACATCCATAGCCTTGAGATACCCAGGACGAACCTCATCCGCCCCCGGGGCTCCGCCGCTGTGTAGTTGTTTGACTACCTCAGCAACTTCTGCCCCCGAGATCGGACAGTCCATCCCCAGGCCTCCCAGCTCTGGTTCCTCCTCGGAATGCGCATTGGTGGGATTGAGGAGCTCCTCAGAGTATTCCTTCCACCGTCCGACTATAGCCTCAGTTGACGTCAGCAGCTCCCCATCCCCACTGTAAACAGTGTGAGCGAGTTGCTGCCTTCCTCTCCTGAGGCGCCGGACAGTTTGCCAGAACCTCTTTGGAGCCGATCGATAGTCTTTCTCCATGGCCTCACCAAACTCCTCCCACGCCCGAGATTTTGCCTCGGCAACTGCCACTGCTGCACCCCGCTTGGCTATCCGGTACCTGTCTGCTGCCTCCGGAGACCCACAGACCAGCCACGCCCTGTAGGCCTCCTTCTTCAGCCTGACGGCTCCCCGAACCTCTGGTGTCCACCAGCGGGTACGGGGGTTGCCACCACGACTGGCACCGGCCACCTTACGGCCACAGCTAGCAACAGCCGCCTCGACAATCGCAGAGTGGAACAAGGCCCACTCGGACTCAATGTCCCCCACTGCTCTCGGGACGTGGTCAAAGCTCTGCCGGAGGTGGGAGTTGAAGACCGTCTTGACAGGTTCTTCTGCCAGGCGTTCCCAGCAGACCCTCACTATGCGTTTGGGTCTGCCAGGTCTACGCGGCATGTTCCCTTGCCATCTGATCCAACTCACCACCAGGTGGTGATCAGTTGACAGCTCCGCCCCTCTCTTCACTCGGGTGTCCAAAACATACGGCCGCAGGTCAGATGATACGACTACAAAGTCTATCATCGACCTGCGACCTAGGCTGCCCTGGTACCAAGTGTACCGGTGGGCATCCTTATGTTCGAACATGGTGTTCGTTATGGCCAAACTGCGGCTTGCACAGAAGTCCAATAACAAAACACCGCTCGAGTTCAGATTAGGTGGGCCGTTCCTCCCAATCACGGAGGGTTACCGGGGTCCCACCCTGGAGCCAGGCCTGGGGTTGGGGCCCGTGAGCGAGCGCCTGGTGGCCGGGCTTTCGCCCATGGGGCCCGGCCGGGCCCAGCCCGTACCGGATACATGGGCTCGTCCAACTGTGGACCCACCATCCGCAGGAGGAACATGAAGGGTCCGGTGCAATGCGAATCGGGTGGCAGACCAAGGCGGGAGCCTTGGCGGTCCAATCCCCGGACAAGAAAACTAGTTTTTGGGATCTAAATCCACTTTTACCAAAACAGGTTCAAACAGTAATATGTAACATAACTCTAAAGAGCACAATATCGAAGTTCCAAGTGGGAGACAACAGACCAGAGGTAAGGCAGCTCTGCACTATTGTCTCCATTGGTGAGGAGCTCCAGCTGGTCCTTTAAACAATTTGCGGCTGATGAAAACCCAGCTCAGCTGGTGCAGGGAGGAGCAAGGGTGAGCCAACATAGTCTGCAGGCAGGCTCCTCAGATGCAACATAAAATGCACAGAAAAATGAAATCACAACACAAAAAGGCTCCAGTGTTTGTTTGTTTTTTGTACCCAAAGGTGTAGACCTTAGGCTTTATGGGGGGAAGTGTTACGGCTGGAGCCTTTTTGTGTTGTGATTTCATTTTTCTGTGCATTTTTATGTTGCATCTGAGGAGCCTGCCTGCAGACTATGGCCTGTTGGCTCACCATTGCTCCTTCCTGCACCAGCTGTAGATATGTCACGCTAGTAGATATTACTGCATGGATTTCTATTTACATAAACACTGTGGTCTACTGCTGCAGTTGAAACAAACCATCATCCACAAACAATAGAGGAACAAGAGGTAGAAGCGTGCACAATACCTTTTAAATGCTCTTATCATGAAAGAAGCCTAAATCCTGTGCAGGAGCGTTCACCCTTAAATGAAATGTCTGATTAGATTTGTTGCATTTTATTGTGCACTGCTGCATTTTTCTTCTTGCCTTTTCTGTTTTCCACCTCCCAGAGCTGAAGCCCTGCTGTTGTTGCAGCATCCTGTTATATTGTTCTATATCATACACTGTGTTGTTTATTTATTTATTTATTTATTTTTAATCCCTTCGGTCTCGTTCAATAGCACAAAGCTTGGGATCACGTGGGAAACGGGGCGTTGTATTCAGAGCAACATATAGATGTAAAGGCGCTGCGTGCTGCTCTCCCTGTTGCAGTTAAATCGGTGCATTTCACGGGTGTGCAGTCAATTCTAAGTATGCAATCAGCCTGTTTGAAATGTGTTTGTGCAGCAGAATCGTGTTATTATGGATAGATGGCATTGAGTAGCTAGTGAGCATTCATGATGCAGTAGGTTGGGTGAAAACATTAGAGTTAGAAGGAAATATTGATGCATTTAGAGTTTTTTGTTAATTGTGGCTGTGTGGAGTGTTTTAAAGGAGTTAGCATCATACCTGCAGCAATCAGAGTGATCTCAGTTTGGAGACATTCACATTAGGGAGTCAGTCTCACATCAGGGACCGCTAAAGACCAAATTCATCTAAAGTTAAAAAAAATTCTAATCCGAAGCCTTCACACTTTTGCGTGATATGGTTTTTATTGCATGGGCTGCACGGTGGTGCAGTGGCTGGCGCTTGCCTTGCAGAAAGGAGGTCCTGGGTTCACATTCCAGCCTTGGGTCTTTCTGTAAGGAGTTTGCATGTTCTCGTTGTGCACAC